ATATCCTCTACCATGAGAAATATCCCCGACATGCAAATTATTTCATACATGTTTATATTCATAGATGTCCTCTACCATGAGAAATATCGCCGACATGGAAACTATTTCATACATGTTTATATGCATAGATATCCTCTACCATGAGATATATCCCCGACATGCAAATTATTTCATACATGTTTACATTCGTAAATATCGCAGACAATGCAATTGTATACATGTTTATACACATGAATAGTAAAAATGTCTCAACTTTGAAATATGTAAAGAAAAACACAAGGGAGAAGAAAGAACACAAGTCATTTTCTGATTCTGATTGTGTTGGTGTTTATTCTCAAAAGTTTTGTATGATAGTTTTGTCTCTGCTCTATATGCAAGTCTATTATAGCGTTTCTAGAAAAGTTTTTTTTTTACACATATCTTGTTTTCTTATTTACAACCAATCAATATTTAGTAAAATATTTCATTTACATACGCAAAAGATTTTTGTGCAAATCAATATAAATTGATTAAATTTTATTTATTAAAGTAAATAGAATGTGTTCCGTCCGTCGTTGTAGCAATTGATTATAAAAATACAAAAATATTATTAGTGCAAGTGTGTTCCAAAATGAGTTGATATTTGAAACTTTTTAAAGTATTTACATTTTTATTAAAGCAAAAAACATTAATATTATATAATAAAAATAACAATAATAATAATAAAAACAACAACAACAACAAATGTCAGCACATATTGGAACATTGCGTATACGAGTTTATATATGTATTCTTCAATATACGTAATTGTTGTAAATTATTAGAAACAATCAATTTAAAAATCTTTATTGTTTATTGTTCGCATTTTGACTTTCTTCATAATTAAGCAATTAATTCTCTATTTATTTTACAAAAATTTAATTCACCGTAAAGACATATTTTTAGTGTATTTTAACTATATGAATTTATTTTGTAAATACATATTTGATCACAAAAAAAAAAAAAAAAATAGAAAAGAAAACAAACAAAAATTTGTTATATCTGATATATTTTAAAAATAATATTAAGTAATAAATCATAATAATAATATAATAATAATAATAATGTATTTGTATATCATCCATAAAATGTTATATACCAAACTAAATAAATAAAATTGGAATTAACACGAAAAAACTTTATATATATCGCTGTTAATTATCATCATGAGTAATTGAGGACAGAGAGCGAAAACATAAAGAAGAATATTTTAAAAGTAAAAATACGTCTTAAATGTAAAATGAAAAAAAACAAAAAAACAACTATCCACAAAATTACTAACTATTATGTTAATAATAAATTTCGTTTTGTATATTAAGGCAACAAGCGTAGTAATATTTAAAGTATAATTATATAATTTTTCATTAAAATATATATATATATATATATGCACGCATATTTATTGATAAAAATATCTGAAATTGATGTATTCATCAATCAATTACATGAAATGAACGTTGATGATATAGTAAATGTGTTGAGGTTATGAAATCGTTCACATCGCGTGTACGTATATTTGGTATGTGTATGTACTTTATATAAGCGTTTATACATTAAATAGTTAGTAAGCGGTAAAGAAGAAAAAAAAAAGAGCAAAAACTTAAATGTATTATAGAAGCAAATAAGTATAAAAAATAAAATAAAAATTTGAAAAAAGAAAAAGAAAAATAGAATTTGAAATATAACTTGGTTTATCGAATTTTATAATATCCCAACTGGACTTTGGATTTAGCAAAATTTCGCAAAAACCTATATAAGACTTGGGATACTCGGTGCGTGATTCTTCCCAATGGCCATCTATTGAAGTCAATGCTGCGTGCTTAAGCATTAACCACGAAATTTATTTACGAAAGGCCAGTCCATCTATTCGAACAAATTTTTTACAATGCTAGCATAAAGATTAAACGAATTAAACCAATACGAATTAAACATCATTTGTTTTCAATCGCTAATAACGCATTAGTAGATCTTCTAACTCCTATTAATACTGTTACGAAAATCCCAAATTCAGTTAATGTCAGCTAAGTAATTTTCGTAATAATAAATTCCCTAAAGAAGGAAAAGCCAAATTAGCATTCGCAGGCGCGTCATGCAGATGCAGGCCGATGAAAACGATTAGAGGAAAACCAGGCTGGGATTAGAAATAAAACCATAAATTTAGGTATAGTCAGATGGTTGAAAAATTGTATATAAATCGAATATTTGTGAAAAGTAGAGTTAGTCTGGCAAGAACGTAGAAGTTGAGAGTACGGCCAAAAATAAATTGTAAATAAATATTCCTACTGTTGTGAAAGACAAGGTAGTAAAATAAAAGAACTTTGAAGTGTATTTCTCTTGATCATAATATCCACGATCTAGTGATACGGACTGTATCTTATAAAAGCGAATTTCAACATAACAATACTTCTTCTTGATGAAATTTCGTCTCTTTACTTGGATTACGTTTAATTATCCAAATTTTAACTGTCATCTATAAATGTCATCTATGACATATTCAATTTTTTACACATCACAACCAATTATCGAAGAAGAAGAAGAAAAAGAGATACTTAACTAATATTTCAAAACTGTATGATCCCAAATGCCACTTCTCTTGGCTAAAAGTCAATTTATTGTCTTTCTCTAACTCTACTTTTATTATTGGAATCTGATAGCAGATTCTAAGACAAATTGTTCTCGAAGTTGAAATTTTTTGGTGAATTTGTAACCAACCAACCCTTTCGTCATTTTATAGTGCTTATTCCATTTGTTTTTGACTCGGCCGAAAACCAAACTTGCCAAAAAGGATTTAATATGGAAAAGAAAGGTAATAAGAACCGCATCAATTTTATAACACAAAATATTTAAAACTTGAATGCCATAAAAAATAAAATCACTTTTCACGGAAGTCTTTTTTTTAATTTATTTTTTGAAATTTATTTTATTTAATAAGTTTTTCCTAACTTTTAAAGATTTTGTTTAAAATTGCTACGCATAAGATTAAAAAAGCAAATTTAGTTTGAAGTGTGTAGTTTTCGAATATGATTATTTCGATTTGCGGTTTTTCGCGATATGTGAGAAAAAATTTTTTTTTTTTTTTCAGGCCCCTTGTGTTAATAAAATTCAGCAATATTTGCTAATGAATTGAATTTGGATTGAAGCAAAATTCAATAAAACTGTAATATTTGTGTAAAAATGTGTGTATATTGTATGTATTTATTTATATATTTAAAAGACAATAAAATTTTACTTCTCGTCATTTTCTATAACATTTTACCATATTTCTGGAAACATGGCGGCAATATCGTGCGTGAAAGAATTTATATTGATTTGGCAGCGATCCGATTGTCGATCCAGTTTCGCACTTTTTCAACTTTGCGAAGCTGCGTGCCAGCTAAGTCATGTCAGATCGATCCGAACAGGTGGTAATCAGAAGGCGCTATATCTAGTGAGTATACTGATTGCGGCAAAACTGCCCATTTGAACTGCAACAATGTATCCTTGACTACTTTTGCTAGAAGTGGCCAAAATGCCATTTTCAGTCAATTCGTCTCGCAGTCATTTTAGCGACTATTGCTGCTCTTTTTGCAGCAGTCCATCGTTCAATTGACATCGGTAGACATCAGCGGCAAAGCAGCTCGTAATGCATTACAACTAACTGCACAGCAAAACTTTATAGCCATGAATATTCCGCTTCGGTGTCGATATGTCCTAGACTAACCCACGACTTTTCGCGCCTACGCTTGTCAAAACAGATCCATTTTTCACCGCCAGTCACAATACGCCACAGGAAGCTCTTCGTTTTTACCCTGGCAATGACACCGCGATGATGAAACGGCTCGTAATGAAATTTTCAATCAATTCCTGTGATTGCCATTTTGCCTCCTTTCGAATTTTTACCCTCGCGTGTAAACGTCTAGAAACAAATGATTTTTCAACTGCTAAGCAGTTCGAAAGTTCTTTGAATCTTTGAGCTGGGATCACATCGCCGTTGCAATTCATTGTCTTCGAAACTTTTTTGGTTCTCCTGGCCGTTCATTCTCATTAATATCAAAATCACCGCGTTTAGACCGTGGCAACCAATACCGATAATGGCGATATGATAGGGCGGCATCACCATAAGCTTCTAAAAGGATTTGATGGGCTTCGACAATAAATTTCTTCAAATGGTTAACCTCTGTGTACACTGAATAACTCAATAATACTAAGTGAAAAACTGTTGTTTTCTGCACAGAAAGGTCAAAATCATCGAATTTAACCGTTACTTATATCGGCTCTTCGCATTACTTTATAATTTTCACCAATAGAATATCACTGATTAAAATACAAGCAAGCAACTATAATTTCCTTCCATATGTGCCCAAAATCGATTAGGATTGTTTTTTTATTTTGTTGACTCGATATCAACTTGAACAGCAACTTGGAAGATCTTAGTCAAAAATGTAAATAAGGGAACCGTTCAGTACGTAAAATGTTTTCCGCTGCGGCAACTGCGCAAGTACTTGTCTTTAAACCTACATATATACGTAAATATGTTATTGATTAACATAAACGCTAAGATGGCTTAGTAATGTCGTTAATCTGCTAACTGTTCTTGGAATATTTACAAAAACAGCGAAATAGTGATATGCAATTTCATATATACCTTTCTCATTAAAATTTTGATATGAATGTTGTCTTGGGCTGCAACAGGATGCCCTTCTAATTATTGTATGTAACAATACCTCCGATCAGCCAAGCGACAAAATTGCTTACAGAGTTCATATAATGTCTTGGACTATAATTAACTTTCGAATATTTGCCTCAAAGGCGAATATCAACATAATTTCCTTATTTCGTAGATTTTAATGTTTAATTAAAGAGTATGCGATTTGTATTTGATTATTTATGGAGGCTGGTATGCACATATGCGAACAACAACAACCGCAACATCGATCCATT